ACTGCTTACCGAGTTGGGTCCGTTTTGGCCGAATCCCGATGGTCGTACGCTCACCGAAAATGTTTACTCGTGGAATAAGGTTGGTTTTTTTCGTTAAATGTGGTTTTTTTGGGGTTTTTTTACCAAAATTTTCATTTTACCGGCAATAAATATCTTGAGAGATGGTAAAATTTTACGGATTTTTGGAAAATTTGGGTGGATTTTGGGTTTTTGAGGTATAATTTGAGGTTTTTTTGCGTGTTCAGAGCAATTTTTTTTCGGTTTAGGTGGGATTTTTTAGGTTTTTGGGGCAAATTTCGTGAAATTACAGGTTTTTTTTACAATTACAGGTTATTTCAGGTTATTTTTTAGGCGGTGGAATGTTTTTTAAATGGTTTTTTTTAGATTGCGAATGTGATATTTTTGGAATCACCACGACGGGTTGGTTTCTCGTATCAAAATCTCACCGAAAACAGTGACGACGTATTCAACGATAAGAAGGTTCGTTGTGGTTGCGGTTATTTTTCGGTTTTTTAGGGGAATTTTTGGGAATTTTTTACGTTTTTTGGGCAGAAAATGGGAAATTGGGCAGAAATTTGGGTGGTTTTGGTTTCGGAGAAATAATTTTTGGGAAAAGGAAAATGTTTTGTAGACAGCGAGTGATAATTTTCTGGCGCTGATGGATTTTTTGAGTGTTTACCCGGAATATTACGATCGACCATTCTACGTGACTGGTGAATCGTATGCGGGCGTTTACATACCAACGCTGGTATCGTTGATCATCGATAAGATACAGGTGAGGAAGGTTTGATTGGAGTTCTAGATTGTTTTTTGGGAAAGTGCGTGTTTCCCGCGGGAAGGCAGTATTTGCCTGGGAATGTAATTTCAGGCTGGCGAAGCGCCAGGATTGAATTTGGTTGGAGTGATGATCGGAAATGGGAAAATGAGTGACAAATGGCAATTCAACTCGATCATCTCGCTGCTCTACAATCGAGGAGTGTATAATCCGGCGTGAGTTTATGCGTTTCGACGGGTTGATATTCCCAACAAATTCCCTCGGGAAAGCCCAAATTTCCCCGGGAAACCATCTCAAAAGTTCTTTTTGCTCTGCAGGGAAATGAACGAGCTGAGCGGGTGCTGCAATAAGTCGGAGCCTTTGCGTGATTGTGATTTTTCCCAGTGGGTAAAATTCGATTCCCATGGGGATGCGCATCCGATCAACGACTCGGCCGGACAGGAAACCGAGTGCGGAAAGAAGGTGGCGTATTTGGGACGGAACGCGATATGGGAATACGGTGATATGTGGGTTATTTATTGTTAATTAATTAGTGTTAATTAATTACCTGGATTACCTGGATCGGCAAGCAGGCTATCAAACGTTTATAACGTTGCTGGCCACAATGCTCGCAATGTTTCCGTGCGGCGCATTGTTTTAGCCTCAATTTACGCCGTCACCCGGCTGGCTAGCTGGTGAGCAGGCCAACCGAACTTGTTAATTAATTAGTGTTAATTAATTAATTAGTGTTAATTAATTATTCATTTCAGACAAGACACCTATAATATGTTCCAAGATTGTTATATGGAGAGAATAGCCACGACGGTGAGTACGTTGAGACGGGAGCAGATGCTGCTCAGGGCAAAATTGAGGCAGAAACAACCGCAGCAGAAGGATTTGAAGCTAATGGACACGTCGTTTGAACACTACTATGATCTGAAAGGATTCTATGATCAGAAGGTACGATCAGATCAATCAGATCAGATCAGATCGATCAATGCATTCGTAACGTTTTTGGAAAATTTTAATTTTAAAAAATTTTTCAAATCGTCCAAAAAAAGTTTGGTTTTTGAGTTTTTCTGTTTGAATCTGGTTTGAGGCTGCTCTTGAATTTGGATTTTGAATCTTTTTTTTTGGAGTGTTATTTTTGATTTTACAGGTAAATTGATTTTACAGGTAAGTTGAGTTTACAGGTAAATTGATTTTACAGGTAAATTACGCGTCGACGGACAGTGAAGGTGCGTTCCAGTGCTATAATACGGAGAGTGGTGAGCAGTGGTTGAATTGGGACGATGTTCGGGCGGCGCTCCATATTTCCGCGGCCGCGGCGCCCTACTCGGAATGCAGGTGAGTGCGTGGGCGGCGGTGGAACGATGGGACGGGATTGGAGTTTTTTAGTGATCTAGAAGGCTTGAATTGATCCTAGAGACACGATCAGCGTATGGGCTGGGGAGTTTCGAGTGATTTTTGGGATCAAAATTTGATCGATTGATCTGATTTTGGCATTTATGAGTGGAAATCAGAAGAAATCAATGCATATGAAATGAAATATGAGTGTGAAATATAGCCATTTTTTATTTTTTGACATATTTTATTGACATATTGACATATATATTGACATATTTATTGACATATTGACATATATGTTGACATATTGACATATTTATTTTTTTTATTTTTTAATTTTTTAATAAATTTTTTTCTTTTTCGTTTAGTGACTACGTTTTCGAGCGGTACATCAAGCAAAACAGCGATACATCGCCGGTATTCGATCATATCGTCGAGAGTGGATATAAACTGAGACTGTTGGTCTACAATGGGGATTTGGACACGTCGTGTAATTTCGTTGGAGGTTATTTTTTTTGGAGATTCCTGGGGAATTTTTTGGGAAAATATTGATTTTCGGTTTGTTTTTGGGAAAATCAAAAAAATCAGTTCGTAGGAAAATGCAGATTGTTAGAGGTCACTTGAGTTGAAAATGTCACGTACAGCGGCTCTCTCGTGGATTAGTTAGAATGGAGAGATAACGTAGATCATGTGAAGCGAAACGTTAAGAGGTGGCGTGAGGTCACGTAAGGTGACGTGAGGTCACGAGAGGTGACGTGAGGTCAAAGGTCACGTAAGCGTGTTGTTGTTGTTGCAGACGAATGGTTTATGGAGGCGTTGGCATCGCGTCACTCGATGCCACAGGTGATGGATCAGCAACCGTGGTGGTTCCGGGACGTGATCGCCGGCTACTATCAACGTTTCACCTATCAGCAATCGTTCACCGTGGACATTCTGACGGTTAAGGTGAGTGGTGCATTAGCCTGTTATTAATTTCAGGTCGTAAATAATTCTGATAATGATAAACTGATAATGCTACTGAAGGGTGCCGGCCATATGGTACCAACCGACCGGCCAGGTCCCACACTGCAAATGTTCAAAAATTTCCTGGATGCCGAAAGAAATTACTCGATTCCGTTGCCGTTTGGACGCGATCGTAGACCGTTGAAGCCGGAATACGAGACACTTTTGGAGGTGAGTGACATATTTTTTGACATTTTGGACATATTTAGTGACATATTGACATATATATTGACATATTTATTAATTTTTTAATTTTTGTTTTTTGACTTATTTTGTTCATTGATATATTTATTTTGATTGACATATTTTATTGACATATATATTGACATATTTACTGACATATTGACATATTTATTGTTTTTGATTTTTATTTTTTGACATATTTTATTGACATATTTATTAACATATTGGCATATTTTATTTTTTGACATATTTTGTTGACATATTTTTTTAGATTGTTGAAAATAGAGGAGTGGCAAGACCTGAAATTAATTTCAGATCGCTGCACTCGAATCGCCGGCGGTCATGCTGCCGTTCCGTGTGCGTCGTTCGATCAGCGCCGAGCAGCTTCCCAAGCAGCAGGCAAGTTTGGTGGCGCCGCCGAATGGTTCGAAGGAGCACGATAGAATCGAGGAACTGCCCGGTCTCACATTCGATTTGAATTTTGCCCAGTATGCTGGGTATTTGACGGGTGCAGATAGCGAAAATTACCTATACTATTGGTAAGATTACTTACTTGCTTGGGTTGATGGGTGGGTGTTTTGGTCGTATTTCAGGTCTTATTTCAGGTCGGCGTTTAAATAATTCAAATTTCAGGTCAGAATTTTAGATAATTCTTTTCCAGGCGTGGGTTTTTTTGGCGGAAATAATTAATTTCAGGTTGGTGGAATCACAGAATGAGCCTGAAGTGGACCCGTTGATAGTGTGGCTGAATGGGGGGCCAGGTTGCAGCTCACTGCGGGGACTGATGGAGGAAATTGGACCGTTCCGGGCGAGTCGGAATGGCTCTCGGTTGTTCGAGAATCCGTTCGCGTGGAATAAGGTTAGTTGGTGGTTACTTGGTTACTTGATTACTTGATTACTCGATATTACTCAACTTGATTACTTGATTACTTGATATTACTCAACTTGA